CAGTTATACACAGCTTGTGTGTGTGTGTGTGTGTGTGTGTGTGTGTGTGTGTGTGTGTGCGCGTGTGTGCATGTGTGTGTGTGTGTGAGCATGCATGGTGTATTTGTGTGTGTGTGTTGTTCACCAGTCCCTGCAAAGGTTCAGCTATCTCAGCTATGGCACCATTCAATAAAGTTCTGAATGTGTTCAACCATCCATCAAACAGTGCTGTGATCTTTAACCTTAAATGCCACTGTTAACTGGCCAATCGGAGGTCACTGCCTGCCTCTCAACATTCCACAACAGCCTTTAGCCCTGCCTCTGTGGCCTCAGAGGTGAGATGCTGAAGTCATTGGTGTAAAGACATTCAGTGTGTCTGCTGTAACAGGGTTAGCAGAAGAACAGTGATGGTTTAGAGAATGAAAGGCTTTTGGAGAAATGTTGGGATAATTACATCAAATTAAATCACTCTTTTATCATTAAAAAAGTTATATTGTTCAAATATATGGGGTCTGTTTTTGACTTTTAACTGTTTTGGACTTTTTCATGTTTTTGAAAAAAGTCTCTTACACTCACAAAGGCTACATTTATGTGATAAAAAATACAATATGAACAGTAATATTGTGAAATATTATAACTATTCAAAATAACTGTTTTTTATTTTAATATATTTTAAAATGTAATTCATTCCTGTGATGCAAAGCTAAATTCTCAGCATCTTTACTCCAGTCTTCAGTGTCACATTTCTTGTTATCAGTGTCGGCAACCTTTGCGCTCCTTAATATTTGTGTGATACATTTAATATGCTGTAATCACTGTTGGGCTCGTTACTCCAAAAATGTAATTTATTACTCGTTACTCCTTTCAAAAGTAATATTATTACTTATTACTTTCTGGCAACAGTAATTAGTTACACTACTAGTTACATTACTTTTCCTTCACGCCCCACAGAAGTTGTAATTGTGTATCTTCCCCATAAAATTCACCAAAAAATGTTTCTAACAATATATTTCTGCCTCATCATTTGACCAAAATCTACATTGGATCGCAGTCAGAAATTATTACCAAACACTCAATTGTGATAGATAGTGGCTTTTAAGTAAAAGTGTCGTATTAATTTTCATGTGTAGCTTGAAGCTAATTGTAGCTATTATTTGTAGCTATATTTCTGTTTTTTTATCAAGTATTTTATCAAAAGAAATCACATAAGTTCATACGATTTTTAATTATAGTAATATAATTTATATCGATAATATAATAACAAGCTGTTTTATGGATAGTAACTGTAATATTATTAATGAAATCTTACTAATTAGTTACACTACTAGCAAAAAGTAATATTATTACTGTAACTAGTTACTGGCTGTGATACATGCTTTCATGATTCTTTAGTGAATAGAAAGTTCAAAAGAACAGCAATCATTTAAAATGGAAATCTTTTATAAAATTGTAAAATAAATAAATAAATAAAAAAGTCACTGTCATTTTTTGTCAGTTTAATGTGTCCTTTCTGAATAAAAGCATTAATTTCTTTGAAAAACAAAAAAAAACAAGTCTGCAGACCTCAGACTTCTAAATGGTAGTGTATCATACCGTATCTATGATAAACATATGCAATGTTTCGTAATATTTCCCACTCTTTTTCCTATATCATCTGAAGATCTTTTTCTCACCAAACATATAATAAAAAAGACTTAAAATGGAAAAACACATTGAAAGCCTTCAGCGCTAGGCTCACACCCTCATCACCACATAATCGTTGGCATCTGTGTTTAGGTAAAGCTTGTGTTTTTGTATAAATCCACAATGCCGTCATACTCCCACTGCTAAACACCCACAAACAAAAACTTCTCTTAGTCGACAATTACATTGTGTTTCACAGCGAGAGACTAATGCTGCAAGTATGTGCGTGTTTACAACTACAGCTTATAATGTCATTCCAAAATGCACTGTTGCAAGTATATACTGATATTTTTCTTCTTTAGGATAAGAGAAGAGAAAAAAGGAAATAAGAGGAAATTCTGACCTTTTTAGGGATGCTGTCCAGCGTCTCTGGTCTGCTTATATCAAAACAGATGAGCACAGCATCACAGTCTGGATACGCCAGGGGCCGGACATTATCATAATACGAGGACCCTGCAGAACACAAGCACAGTGAGGGGTCAGGATGAAAACGCTTCATTACGATAAAGCTGATGTTCAAATCAAAGAGGAAACACTGCTAATGCTGTTTGCAAATGCTGTGGCACGTACAAATTAAGTACTGTGGGTCATACAGCAGAGCAGATGATATAAAAGACTGATGTTTCTACAGTAGTGAGTGCCTGAACAGGAAGGAGAGGTCAGTTTAATTCCAGCACAGTAAATTCTTTCTCTTTGTCTGTGTTTGGAATAGCATTTTTAACATTAGCGTCCATACTATTTCCACAGAATAAAGTATGTATTCTGTATACTGTGCACATTATATGAATTTTCTAAGCCACCGTTGACCCAGGGCTCAGTCGAGTCCAGTCAAGTCAAGTCACCATGATAGTGTTTTCATGACTTTCAAAAAAAGGAAAAAATAGAGAGACTGATAACGGCAGTCAGTAGAGAGAACGATGTCAATTTTACCGTCACTCCCATAGACGCTCTATTAGAAACACCCTCGCATTAGCATTAACTAGCTTTTTTTGTAATTTGATGCAAAGGTAATATAATATAAATAAATGTACATACATAAAAAAAAATGAAAATACAAAAAACTTTGGAGGATTTACAATGCTGATGACCGTTAAAACGCATCATCACAGTCTTGTGAAAAGGGTCCATAAACAGGAAAATAACAAGCTTCATCAAAATTTGAGACAAATACAAATTCTGCTGTAAAACAGCTCTGAAAAGACAATAGTGTCATAACTCGGCTCAGGTCAGTGTTCCTGGTTTACCCGCTGTTTCCCACAATGCAATGTGCCCAACTTGATACTTCCATTTCCAGTGTAATGAATTAACCAAAAGTAATACAGAAGAGATTTTTGATGTCTCTATTGTTTTTAAATGAAAAAAATAAAAGAAGTACAAATGCAAAATAAATGGTTCTGTTTTCAAGATAATAATTGGACATCAATAATGCAATGTGATGAGGTCATCACCAGTGCTATTTTAGTATCGAGATATTGTTATTATTTTTATTATTATTTTGAATTGGTTTTTATGTTTAGATTTTCCTTTATAATTAAAATTTTAGTTACAGTTTTAGTAATTTTATTGTGGTCTGCCATTTTTGTTAGTTTCTTTTTTTATATATTTTGTTTTTATTAATTTTTTTATTTTATTTTTAGTTATTTTAGTACATTAAGTTAAAGGGGTCATATGATGTTGCTAAAAAGAACATTATTTTGTATATTTGGTGTAATGAAATGTGTTTATGCGGTTTAAAGTTAAAAAAACACATTATTTTCCACATACCGTATATTATTGTTTCTCCTCTATGTCCCTTCTGAAACGCATCGATTTTTACAAAGTTCATCGAGGTGTGCATTCACATAATGTGCTCAGTACTTTGAATGGGGTTGTGAACTGCCACTGTCTAAAATTGGCATACTCTCTGTCTTTCCTGATCTCCTCTCTCGAACTTTGCATTCATCTCTCACTCTCCTGTCCTTCCCTCGAGTGAGGACACAAATCCAGACATAGACAGAGAGCGATAGGGAGGGAAAGCGAGAGAGGAAGTGTGAGAGTGACAATGAGTGTTTGAAGCACTGATCAAAGCTATCAGTTATTATGGGCTGGCCTCAGGAGCCACCCTATAAGCTGCATGTCCCACAGTTCCCTCTGGCAGGTCTGTCAACCACAGCCAGGGAAAGATGGTCAAATCACATTTCCTATAGATGAGAGTGCAAATAAGGATAAGAAGAAACTAATAAAAGTGTTCAGAGAGACAGACTGGAATGAAAAAGGCGGTTTCTGTCGTCATATTGCTTGTTTGTTATTTGTCGCCAAGTTGAGTGTGCTAGTCCACAGGGACACAGAATAACTTTTTTCTGTTCTCCCTACAACAGCTTCTAAAATAAACTTGTTTACTTAGCTATTTAAATGAGGACATACCATAGACTTCTATTGTCTATTTTTATATAAACCCCATAATAATCACCCAAACCCTACTCCTAAACTTTTGCATAAAAAAGGCTATATATATATATATATATATATATATATACTAACACTAATATTTTATTGATCAATCCATACATATTATTATTATTATTATTTTTATATTGTTGTGGTTATCAATAATATTCATAATGATGGTGATAATACAAAAAGGGAAATTAATAATATACATTAATAATAATAATATGTTACACGTTCATAAAAAATATGATTCACGGATTCATATTACACACACATATATATATATATATATATATACAGAGAGAGAGAGAGTAGTAATAATAATAACAACAACAAAAGGGAAATTAATCTTTATAAAATTGTAATAAAATTTTAAATTTAAACGTATGAAATAATAATAACAACAACAATTACTATTATTATCTTATGTATGAATTATTTTCTTTTCATTCCTTACATATACAGTGAGTATAGAAAAGAATCACCCCCTTTAATCACATCTTGTTGCTTTGCAGCCTGAAATGAAGACGGACACAGTTTTTGTTTTATCCAGCTGTATTTACTCAGTGCAACTTATAACATCCAAGTGAAAGATACAACACCATGTCAGAAAAAAATTAAAAAACAGAATCACCGAGTTGGAAAAAGCATCACCCCCTTGTGTCAGTATTTTGTTGAACCACCTTTTGCTTTAATTACAGCCTTTAGTCTGTTGGGATATGCCTCCACTAACTTTGCACATCTAGAATGCTGTCATATGCATATTTGGATGGTGAGCTGTATTGGATTTCCACCAGACATATCGTTTAGTGTTGAGGCCAAATAATTCAATTTTAGTCTCATCTGCCTCAGAATCTTCAAGGTGTGTTTTGGCAAAGCTCAGTTGTGACTGCATGTGGTCTTTCTTGAGGAGTGGCTTTTTTCTTGCAATCCTCCCATACAAGCCACATTTGTGAGAATTTGTGATATTGTTGTCACATGCACACAACCACCACTTTGCCATAAATTCCTGCAGCTGCTTCAGAGTTGCTGTAGTCCTCTTTGTCGCCTCTCTGACTAGTTTCCTCCTGACTCTTTCATTTAGTTTGGAGCGACGTCCTGATCCAGGTAGGCTCTGTGTTAAATACTTTCTACTTCTTAATAATAGACTTCACTGTGCTTAGGCATTGATAAAGCCTAAAAAAAATTTGTATCCATCAACTCCACAACTTCATCCCGGAGATCTTTTGACAGTTACTTGCCACCCATAGCTGATTGTTTGCTTCAGTTGCACTACCAAGGAATTAAATGCTCCAGGAAAGCTCTTTTCATACTGAGCTAATCAAAATTCGTGATACTTTTTCCAACTCTGATTCTGTTTTTTTTTTTTATTATTATTAATTTACACATTTGGAGGGGGGAAATCTTTTTAACCACTACAGAGTAATAATAATAACAACAAAAGGTTTGAAATTGTATGAAATTAATTTAATAATTTATGAATAATAATAAGAATTATTATTATTATTATTATTTCATACAGCTGCCCCAAAGGGATATTGTCAACCCAAACACACACACACACAAACACACAGAAACAGTGTTTTTGTACAGCTGCTCCGCATCTCAGCCTCTGTGTATTTGTATGTGTGTGTGCTCTTTTCTTAACACTCCTGTTGTCTTTTTTTATCTGTTTTTCTATTTAAATAATTTGAAGTCCTTCTAATTTATGGTCACTCTCCTCTGCCAATCCAAAAACATTCACGACATGTTCAAAAACATTCATTTCCTGTCTTGTTTGCAGTGGGCATTAAATGTCTCCACAGAATTCTCGGCCGGTTGTTTTCTTTGTTTTATTTTTTAAACATTATTACTGTGATTACGTCTGTAGTGCTAGACATAAGTTGTGTCTTGTTAAGAACAGTGTGTCCACATGAAACGCTGACCTGAATGTTTGCCAGTAAACAGTAGATTCACCTTTTGCCAGCTGTGCAGCTGTGTGTATGTGTGTGTGTGTGTGTGGTTGAAGCAGAACTCTATGGAATGTCATTACAGATTGTTGAAGATGTAGCCGTGAGCACAAGAGTGTCAGTTAGCTCAGTAGCAGCACACATATGCTACAGAAACATAGACAGACACCTCATTAAGAACCATCAGAGACACAGCGTGATTACCTGTGTGAATGTGTGTTTATGTTTGCATTTGTGTAAATCTAAACAGGCCTAAGGCTAATGCATGAAAAAGGTTAAACTGAAAAGAAGGATGTTATGCCGGCAGAAACATTGCCTGATGAACGTTGTATGACTGAAATGTTGCATTAACATTTTCAGTGTGCACGATTTATCACTGGCCACATACACACTGTAACTAGGATGACTGACACAGTGGTAACCATAGCAGCATTTTGCCGTCTCGTGCATTTGGTATTTGTTATTTTGACCTAAGCAAAATTACAGTGAACAAAGACTCGTTATGTTCGACAACTGACAGTGCAATGTGTACATGGCCAATTTGTGTTAGACTATTTTTGCAGAATTCAAATGATCTAAATTAAAAAATATAGAAATTTGAATAAACTTCAGAAAATGTACCTAAAGGCATAGCTCATCTAAATTTTTAAATTCTTTCATCATTTACTGACTTTCATGTCATTCCAAACCCATATGACCTGTTTGATATTTTGAAGAATGTTTGAACTGTTTTTGCCTATACAATAAAAGTCACTGTATGGACATTTTGGTTATATATCTTTCACTTTAGACTCTACTAAATATAAGTAACTTTGCAACTACATGTCAACTAATTCATTAGAGTATTAGTAGACTGTTAGGTTAGGGTTAGTATAGTCAGTAAAATGTCTGTTGGGGGACCATCAAAATAAAGTGCTAGCAGATTTTGAGCAGACAGTTTACTAATACTCTAATGACTGGTAGCTGGCATGTACTTGCAAAATTACTTATAGTTAGAATGTCTAAAGTGGACTATCAAATAAAGTGTTAACATTTCAAAAATATATATATTGGATTCCACAGAAGAAAGTAAGT